TGTGTGTGTAGCCCTGGAAAAAGAACCAAAGTCCTGACCTTCAAGGGCATAAACTGAGTAAATGAGTTATAAATCCTTGAATCGAGGGTACTATTTACAGCGTAAATTAAATGGATCCTCTAGAGGAAAACTTTCTGCTCCAGAAAGGTCAACTATGTCAGTGTGAATTTTGGCAATTATATTTTCATTTCTCATCAGCTTCTTCATGCTTTAGGAAATCAGAGTAGACAGTGAAATGGTCCGTTATTGGAAAGTAACTCTAGATCCGCTAAGATAGAAAAAGCCTACTACCATTTTTGATTTTTAAAACTGATTTTTAAAACTATGTTACTATTCCTTTTGAGCATCGGTGTTGACAACCGGTGGTACCACATTCAACAGAAAGCCAGAGAGCTATTCATCACACACCTCAGACACAAAGCTTCTGTGTAGAGGTCAGGCCAAGGTCAGGGCGGGCGGCATTTTCTGCTGAAATGTAATAAAACAGCCCTTACATCCTGAAGTTCAGTTATCAACCAGAAAGCTTAGTGATGGGTGGGAAACACTAGAAAAGTAGAACTATTTTGTGTGAAGTTTGTTGATGAAAATGTCTTAGTAGGTGCTGTAATCCTGGCATTTAAAGGTTCTGACATTTATTGATTATTCTGGAGTTGTGAAGATGTAGTCAAGGAATGATTAGGAAAGGCATTTTAAAAGCACAGGGATTTACAGCTAGATAGTTTTACTCACAATTTGTGAAACTTTGGTTCACAGTGGCACAGTGAAAATTCCTGGCCTAGTCTCGTGTGGTTTATAGGGTTTCGGCTCTGTACAGATGTGGCAGAAGCAAGGGCCTATGAGCATGGTTGCTTAGGTACCTTGAAAAAGACGAGGAAGGAAAACTGTCCAGACAGAACTCACTAGGTCTCAGTTCTGTGCATGGAGCTCTGATCATCTTTAAAACATGGAACTCTGATCATCTTTAAAACTGTAAAGTTACAGTTCCGCTCTGTCCTGTGCATCTTTTTCTAAAGATTTACAGGTTTGACTTTCGGGTATCATTACAGTGATCATTTCAGTCCTAAGTTTTGTTATCCAGAAGTGAAATTGAGTATTATGAATAAGATTTTACATCACTTACATACTGTATTGTGAAGAGGCAGTCACAGGGAAAAGTCCATGAAAGGAGTCCTTGATATTACATCTAAGATCTAAATTTAAACCCAGAGATTTTCTGCTTCCTATGTGATCCACAAAATGAAATAATTTGCTATGACAGCTGTGATTGACAAGAATATGTGTGAGCACATTTAAAACAGGGCATCTCTTCATGTAGAAGTGAATGTCAGTGAAATGATGGATTCTCATCATTTTAATTATTGATGATTTGGAAATATTTCAATTCCATGACACACAAGACATGTTCTAAATAGCAGCATAACACGTTTTCTCTTATCTGCGTCAATAATGAAACGTTCTGTCATAATTTGTTTTTCAAAAAATGCATTAGTTTAATGAACCTGGATTCATGCGTTCTATCTTGTTCCACTGCACATCTCCTGCATTGCTGGTTCCTCAATGTAAAAGCACAGGTTTCAAGGAGTGACCTGCTCCTCACATCACTTCGCACCTTTGCTGTTACTTAAGACACAGTGCCACAGTGCTGCCCACACCAGAGGCCCCTTTCTCCCCCTAGAGCGAGCACCAAGCTTCCTAACACCCACCTACAAGGTGGCAGCAGAGGTTTCCCCGAGTACACGCACTAGCAGGACTTGGGTGTAGTTCAGTGATGGCGAGCCTTTGAGAGTTCCCAGCTCTCAGTGCCCGCTGTGGCACGCGTGCTGTAGGTTCACCTTCACGGTCTAGTTTACCTCTCTCACTTATATTTGCGACCAGAATTGTGGAAAGAATTGTTTGTGAACCAAGATGCCACTGTAAAAATGGTCTAACAAGAACAAATAATATCAGGGAAACAGGAGGAGGAGGGAATTTAAAGGACAAACAGGTGTTTGCTATACTTTTTAAATCAAATAGACAATTGCCTCCTGTGAATTGTCACTCTACCAGAGAATTCGTCTCTTTAGAACATCGAACTCAATTCCACAGTTCTTCTAAATGTTTTATCTTGCAGACTGCTCATTTTTGAAACTCACTCATCTGCTAGGAAAAATGCGAGACAAGCATCATCATTTAGTGGAAAGAAGGCGAGGCTTGAAAGTCAAGCCATCTCGTGGGATTCCAGTCCCAACTTGAGTATCTCATCTGCAAAACAGAGGTCATACTGCCTGGCAAGTGTGAGGTCGTGAGATTGATCCCTGGTACTGCCAAAAAACAAAACAAAAACCCAAAAATCCCCCCCAAAAACAAAAACAGAAGTCGTAATAAATGATTATTAAATTTAGTCTTATCTTTCTAATGAAGATAAATTATTTTAAAATAAAAGAACACCTATAAATCCCTAGTTTGAATAGAAGTTCGATAACATAGCAAAGACTCCAAAGCTATTAGTCAGAACCCTCTGTCTGCCTTTACCTTTCCAGAATAGCTGGGGTGGGTGCAGGAAAAAGACACCAACAATGAAATTTAGTTCCTGCTTGCTTTATCCCTGCCAGGAAAGCAAACTCCAGTGTGAACCCACGTGAGTCACTTTATCTCTCTAAGCCTGAGTTTCCTTATCCAGAAATGGAGCATGGCAGTGTCAACTCCCAGAGCTTCTGTCAGGTAGAGAGAAGATAATGGGTGTACAACTCTGGCACCCAACATACTTAAAAAACATTGTCTGTCCACCCACTCTTTACTGATTTCCTTTCCTATGTTCTATCATGTCCAGGTACGCTTATGCAAACTTTTCATACGGGTTGTCGCAGGTACCTGAATTACTGCCAATGGTGTTTGCTGACTCTGAGATCTTGAGACACGTGGAACAAATGAAAATCCCTGTGGAGTAGTGATGGGTACAGCATGTTACGGGAGTCTGAGTTTGACGCTCTGACCTCCGTCTGAAGTGCAGGTAAAAATCAAGGCGTTTTATAAAGCAGCCTCAGATGGCCTCTTTCTCTGCTCTGTTCCAAGAGCTGGATTTTAAAGTATGTTCATGACCCAGGGCTAGCCTTAACTTTGAGCTGCCACAACTTATTTAGAGAAAGTTCATAGAAAAGTTCAGGGAAAGGGTGACAACATTTTGATTGGCACAATAGATGGGATGGTTGTAATTTTAATCAAATCTAAATTGAAGACATACTTCAAATGATATGTCAGACTAGTGTTACCGAGTTAAAATCTGTCATTATTAGTTAAATATAGCCATCATGCCTATAGCAATAAAGGATGACATGTAAAAGAACACGCGGAAACAAAGAACACAAGTATTTAGAGAAGTGGGAGCGACCAGAAACTCAGCTGAATGCAAGAATGTGACCTGGATTTAATCTGTTTACCAAACACAGAAGCGATTGTATTTGGGGCGGATGATATAATTGAATATAGCAGTATGTCTTCTTACTGTCAGAGCCTTTATATTTTATAAACTCATCTTGCACTCACGAAAAGATGTGCTTGTTCATGTTTAATGTCATTATCTGTGCCTATCTGACAGGCAAGGCATTAATGTGTTTTCAGGTTTATTGCCCAACTATGGGAGAATGAAGTTTTAAAAATAAGATTTCTAATAAGCCCCTGGATCTGAAGTTGAGTTTGCTGCTTTTATTCTAATGGTAGAATAAGAGGCGATTTTTATTTATTTATTTATTTTTTTGGCCTGTGTCTTACTTTTCTCTCATTGTTGAGACAAAATACCTGACACCCAAAATTAAGGAAGGAGAGATTTATTTAGCTCACAGTTTGTGGAGGTTTCAGAATGTAATCAGCTGGCTCCAAGGCAGGGTGGCACATAGCACAGGGGCAATAGTTCAAGGGGCAGAAGCCAACAAAAGCAGCAAGAGCAAAAGGGGGTGGGGACCAAGTCTCTTTTCCTCTTGTGTGTAGGCTTTCCACCCTATGGTGGGTCTTTTACACCCACACCATCTTTGAGCCCCCCTCTTACACAGGCTGAGGATGTTTACAAAGTGAGGACCCTGGCCCCCTGCTGAGTCACTTAAACTAAACTGCTCAAGTTGACACAATGACCAACATCTACCCTTGACATTATGTATCAATCATAATAGCCTGATGCATGCTGTTGGGAGTGCCCAGAATAATTTAATTTTATTTAATTTATGACTGGCATTGGTTTTTTAAAAAACGTAAACTGAGGAAATATTATTAGAGATGGACCTTTCAACACAGGAGCAGACTAGAAAGTGCTTTATCTTCTTCCTGATATGGTAATGAAATTAACATAGGATGTCGATTCTTCAAAATAAAGTATAATCCATGGTTGGGGCATAGCACTCTTGGAATGCTTTAGGAAAATAAATAAAGAAACAGTGCTCCGACAGGCAGTCCCTAGAACCTGGGATATGGCTCTTGGGGAAGCGTTTTCCAAGGTTTTACAAAGCCCTAAAATCTCTGCAGGGTCCAGCCGCTCCTCCACTTGCCCCGTGTAATCTTAATTTTCCAAGCCCCAAAAGACACAGAGTGGTCAGCTCTGTGTCTGGGAGCTGGTCTGGGAGCCACCAGCCGTGGATAAGAAACACGAGGAGCTGTTGGGGGAGTCGGGGAGTCGGGATGAGAAGAGAGCCCTTCCTGGTATTCGGGCTGTGCACAAAGGTGATGCTGCTGTGCTGAGAGCAGTACTCCAGCAGGCATTGCACCTGTCCGTTCTCATACGCAGTGTCCCTTCCTTGTGTTAGGCTTTTCCTAGTTTGGCACAGAAGCAAGGGCAGAAAAAGAAAAAAAGGACAAAAGGCTTCTCTGCTGGCACGGGAGGGCTGCAAAAGCATGCAAAGTCCCTCAGAGACCGGCAAAGAACCTGCAGGCTTTTAGTCGGTTTGAAGGGGGTGGGACTTGAAGGGGCGGGCAGAATAACGTATTGACAGCTGATTGGGGAATGTTGGCGCATGCGCGAAGAGCGGGAAGTTCAATTTCCAGCTTGGCAGGAGAACGCGGAAGTGGGTATTGGAGGGATTCGCTGTTGCTCTAGGGCCCCTCACCATGCTGGCCAGGTGCCGCGCTGAGTTTCCTGCGGGCAGAGCCATCATCTTTCGTGGTCGTTATGCTTGGAATTATCAGAGATATAATTCCCCGTGTTCTGCCTCTGTGCTCCCAACCACCGTCTCCTTGCTGGCCGCAAGGCACTGCGACATGAATCTATGAAAGATACAACCAAGTAGGTTGGGGAACCCATGTGCATCCCAGAGGGTGGTGAGCCAGGGTGAGGAGAGGTCCCCTAGGATGGCCTGCCCCGCAGCACACAGTGAGCAGACTGTCCTGGGAACTGGGTGCAGAGGCCCTCGCCCCAGGCCCTCAGTGCATTTGGAATGTCCCCACTGGTGCTAGCCCCAAGACAGTGGCACTGCAGGGAGGTCACCCACATGCTGTAAAGAGTAAGACATTGCACCAGTGATTCTCCAAGGGACATCTAAGAGTGTGGGGTCTAAGGTGTCCAGCTTCCAGCACCCTCACAGGAATGGCTGTTTGTCATTATTTTCTACCCTCAGCCTTTTCTAGGGAGAGGAGTAAAAGATAGGAGGTCTCAGAGGCATTTAAACCTTGCTCTGTGTTGTCGTAGGATCTTATATTCAACAGGTGCCTGTAGCTGTTATTGAAGGTGAGAAAGTGAGCAAAAGGAAGGCATGTGAGTTTTAGGAAGGTCACTGCTTCCTGCTGAGCTTTTCCAATTCTCAGCTGGGGTGGGGGTGCTGTTTTCTAGTTCCTGCAAAGGTACTAGGTTGCCTCGGGCCTGGGAACTGAAAGTTTTGGACTTTGGGAATTGAGAAAGCTAAGGAAAGACAGAAATGCAGACTGCATTGGCTAGCAGTCGCAAGTACAGCTTCCTAGAAGTTCATGGTGGATTTGGGGGGCCACAAGGCTTCTTGTTTAGCTACTCAGCCTGGCTCCCATCCTGTGCTCTGCAGCCCCTTTGCTCTTTGGTCACTGCTTACCCACCCAGCGCCAGCCTCTGGATGCTGCTCTTCCCACCAGGAGGCCAGCCTGGGTGGGGCTTTCTGCACCCCTTGTAGCTTCAGGGCAGTATGGAAGGCTTCTTCCTTGCCTGGGGTCAGGGGTGCCTGTGTGGCCCTCCGCTTCCCATGCAAATCCTTTGACAGGAAGTCGGAGGTCCCAGAGCCACTGTGTGCAGAGGAGTCACCATGTTGCTATGAAGGGAGCCCCCGGTTCTCCAACTGGGCCATTCTGGACATCCATGGCCTGTGTGCTTCCCCAGAGTCTTCGTCTACCTCAGTCGTCCCAGGAGCTTTATGGTATAGGGAAATGGATTTTGCTATCACGTAAGGAAGTTTTCCAGCAGTCCCAATCTACCTGACAACTAGAAGGCCTGCTTCAGGGTACAGGTGGTCTCAGGGTTTTGTACAGTGTGCGGATCTGCTGCTTCCTGCCCTCCTTGTCCTGCCTCTGGCCACACCAGGCCCCTCTGTGGCCTATTGTGTGGTTGTTTCTCGGCATTGTACCATGTCCCCCTCCTGATTGTGCTTTGCATTCACAGCCTGTCCCGTGTGCTCTTCAGATCCTTTGTGTGACCTTCCCAGGACACTTTCTTTACCTCCCCAAGCTGCACTAAGTATTCCCGGTTCTGCTCCTCAAGTCCAGCTCTCACCCCTGAGCCAGTGCCTGCTGGGCTGGGTCTCTGCTGTGTCTTCCCAGATAGACCCTGCCAGGCCTCTCTCGCAACTTCCCCAGGCCGTGTCTACAAGATGGGGCAGGGGTCTCAGTGTGTGTTTATTGAATGGATGATGGATTGGACCAAGTGTGTTAAGCCAATAATTTTAACTTTTGTTTCAACCCCAAAGCTTTATGATTCTGAAACCAGTGTGTCGTGTGCACTAAACCTGCCGTGTTTTGCTGCCCCTTCTTCTGGGTTATCCTCTGGTGGGTTAGCAACTGGTGGTCAACTTGTAACAGCCAGCTGAACTGAATTAGCATGGTGCTGAGTATGGATGGCCCACTTGAGGACCATTGCCAACAGTGTGAAAAAGAGAACTGGAGAGGGAAATGGGTGTTGTTGGTTTTCCTGAGTATCGTTGGTTCTCCTCTTGCCATGGGTTCTCCTGGAGGAGCTTGTCGAGCTTTTTTCCTGCTATTAACTTGGCTGTCCTCATTGTCAGAGGAGCTCAGGGCCTTGATGTCACTGAGAGTGGCTGTGGGTCACTTTGGGGGAGCTCTGGTCCTTACTTTGAGCATCGCTTCCTGGCTCTGGAGGGGATAGATGTGTGCTGCTCAGTCTCCAGGAGAAGCCTGTCACACCAGCTTCCTGGTATGTATTTGGCTGTTCTCATCATTAGAGGAGCTTGGGACCTCATTGTCACTGAGGGTAGCTGTGTGATTTTTTGGGAGACCTCTGGTCCTTACTTTGAACTCTGCTTCTTGGCTTCAGTGCAGATACTTTGGCCTGCTGGCACAGATCCTTCCCCCCGCTGGCATAGATTTTCTAGCTTCTGTTGCTGACCTTTGGGCCTTCCAGCACAGATCCATAAAACAAACTTGCATGAAACATTGTCGTTGGCTCTAGGTCTTCAGCTGGGCTCATGAAGGATGTTGCTGTGGGATTTGGGCCCTCAGCTGGATTTTTTGGGGTCTTTAGCGTGTGGACCGATTTTTGTGTTTGACTCTTTGGGTGATTGCTTTGAAATAATTCTGTACTTTTGTGCCCTGTATTAAACTGTCTTCCTTGCAGTCCCTGACTACAATATCCTCTGTGAAACATATCTTCTTTTCATAGTAAATTTAGTAAGGGGCATAATGAAATAGCTAATTAATCATGAGTATAACAATGAATTTGTCCCCCCAAATACAGAGAAAACAGAAGTCAAATTAGTATCTGTCTAATGAAAATATTACCCAATGTCTAACCTAATAAGTTCCCAATGAATTAACAGTCCTGCTGTGATTGGATTCATTTGATGAGTATTCTGCAAATATTTGTTGAGCGCGGCTGTGTCCAAGCATGAGGCCTGGTACTAGCTGTGCAGCAGGGAACAAATGCTTACATTGGAAATGGATGGTCAACTCAGTACGCACTGGGCGAAATATGCCTGTTACAGTGTGCTACATACTGGAGGCACAGAGGTGGACACATTTGACGTCCTTCAGATGCCCAAGGTCTAACAGGCGCACATACAAAGTGGAGAGGTTTAGAGACAAGAGGGATGCATGGTGTGGGAGGCCAGAGGATGGATGGGTCAGACAGCATCCTGCAGGAGGTGGCCCTCCAGGCATCCCTTGCCCTTGTCATGGCTCTGTCCCAGCCAAGAGGAGGACACGTGGCCTTGCAGGTTTCCTGTTTGGGCACACTGGCAGCTGTGTGGTGTGGCATTGGGACACACAGTCGCTGGTGTTTGGGGCAAGAAGGGAGAGATCCCAGGAAGGGAGTAGAGAAGGGCTCTGCACAAGTGGAGGCTCCCTACCCCTGCAGAGGACATTATCTTCTCACTGTGCTCAGGTAGAGCCTTGCTGGCCCAGGTGACATTGGCAGTGTCTGGAGGCATCTCTGGGTACCCCAATGGGAAAAATGAATCAAGAGGGTGTAATGCACAGATGAGGTTACAGCTGCGTGTACACCTGTCATTGTTTCCTCTGGAGAGACCCCTTCCATTTGTGCCACAGATGAGGGTGCTGCTACTGTTCCCCCATTCCCAAAACTAAAGCAAATACATTTGACAGGTTTTTCCTAAGTTTCAGAGCTGGAAAGAGGCAAAGTCAAGGTCAGCTGAAGGCCAGTAGTATGCTTTTGTTAGAATCCTTTGTGGGCTAGTCTAAAAACTTTCGTTAAATAGAAATGCTACCAAATTCCAGTAGTTTTTCCATGTTTATCAATATTGACCAAAATATGCAAAGTAGAATAAACCCTAAAAGTACAGTGTGTTACAAATACAGTATAACAAGCAACATTTTCAAGTTTGCTTTATCCCACCACTTGGAGGGGACCTAACCGGAGATGTGAGGGGATGACCCCTGACTGGGCTGTGTGTACCTCGTAAATGTTTTCTTTCCTGGCCTTTGCTTTTTATGAGTCCACATTTGCTGTGCATAATGATCACACTTCTTGTGTGTGGGGGGTGGTGCGTGTGCACAGCATGTTGAATTCTTTTTACTCCCCTTTCCATCTGCAAAAGTTCTACCTCCCTGATCCCCATCATCTGTCTTTTATTTTGCTCTTTAATTTGTTTATATTTTCACTCCAACAGCTCAGAGAATCTTGAAGAAATGGACAGATTCTGATGCACATGTCAATGACAAATGATGAACCCAGAAGACAGCAAAGCTCTGGAAAATCTGATTACTAACAGTGAAATTGAGGCAGTCATAATCTTCCTACCAAGATAGGGGTGGGACCTGAGGGACTCACTGCTGGACTCAACTAGAGCTCTGGGGGGTTGGAGTCCAGAGGTCCCCAAGGGCACAGCGACTCTTCAGAGCGCCGCTTCTGCCTCTTGGCCAGCTTCCAGACTGTGCCCTACTGTGCTCCCTCACACCTCCACTCCCCACTCCGATCACAGCCGACTTGTCCTAAAAAACTCATTTTACCTTTGCCGCAAGAGCACGCTTGTATTTCCCACCTGTCGTCCTATGTTGAGGGGACTGCGGTGAGGGTTTCATCTCTGGGACTTGCCGAGGAGACATCGAGAGGGTGAGGAGCACAGACCAAAGTGGCCGGGCCCTGTGTTCAGCCAGGGTCCCAACCAGGCTGAGGATGGAGGACCTGCAGAGCTGCCCACACCGTAGCTGGAACATGGGCTTTCCCCAGGCATCCCTTGCCCTTGCCATGGCTCTGTCCCAGCCAAGAGGAGGACACGTGGCCTTGCAGGTTTCCTGTTTGGGCACACTGGCAGCTGTGTAGTGTGGCAGTGGGACACACAGTGGCTGGTTTTTGGGGCACTGGTGGGCATGGACAGTGTGAATTCTGCTCTGCTGTACATTCCTTCCATGCAGCCCCCACGAAAACATTTGGTTTTCACTGCCTGAAACATTCTTCCCCGAGCTCTTCACAAGGAATGTCTCCTCCCCTAGGCCCTACCCAGGTGTCTGCTCCTCAACGAGGACTCCACTGTCAGGTGGTCCCTGAGAGGCAAGAGCTGCACAAGCTGTGGTGTCTTCTCCACAGTGGTCACACTGGGGCCTTGACAAGGGGACACTGATGAATATAGTGGAGTTGCTGGAGAGAAGTAAATAGGCATGGAGGACTCAAGATCTCCTTGGGTAACTGAGAAATGGGTATATGCAGAAAAAGAGGGAAGGTTTGCCTCCAATGCAGTGCCTGTGAGGTAAGGCATGTGCCTGGAAGCGTTACAGCAAACAGAAACTCTGAAACATCACCCAGAATTTGGAGACAGATTTATTTACATCAACAGGCACTGACAAGGAATTAACCCTTATGAAAATGTCAGGCCCTCATCTCAGGTGATCTAGGGCCTATATGGAGTTTCCAAGTGGGAAGTATACAGGAGCAGAGTACTTGATTGTCTTTGATTAGTTCTTATACTATGCAGGACAGTGACCAGTTGTTTCTAAGAAACAGAAGGAACAGGAACTGTAACTGGAACTGTTACCTTGCAACTAACAAAAAATGAAGTATACTGGCTGGGTTGTGGGAAGGGGTTTCTGCTACAGAAGCATTCAGTTTCTTGTGCTGAATTCCTACCCATGCTCAACCATGGATTGGCCATAAAATAAGGTCTTGGGCCAGTTCTGTAGACCCTGGAGCTCAGCAAACTCTTCAGTCAGTGCGAATAGCTTCACCTGCATCATGAAGCAGTCGGGAAGACTGAGGTAATCTGTGTCAGGCACATGAAACAGGGTCTGGGTAGCAATGAGTGTTACTGTTCGTGGAATCTAAGAAGTGCTGCGCAGAGCAGCAATGCCCAGGGTCAGGGCTGCGCAGCACAGGTGACAGTTGTATGGAGGTACTAACTCTGATGGTTGTGTGAGGGACCTAGTGCACCTTCTTGAATTTCCCTTCCTTGGCCTGACTCCGTCTTTTCTCATTGCTGAGCAAAATACCCAATACGCACAAGTTAAAGGAGGAAAGGTTTATTTAGCTCACAGTTTGTAGGTTTCAGTCTATAGTCGCTGGTTCCAAGACAGGGTGGCTTTACAGAGGGACATCATGGAGGAAAAACAGTCCATGGTGGGGCAGGCAAGACATGGCAAGAAACAACCAGCAGTGATCCTGCCTTCCCTCTCCTTTTATATTCAGGCTACAAACCTACGGGTAGGTGCCACCCCGCCCACAGTGGGGCTTCCTTTACCCACACCCAGAACTGTGTAATTCCAGTCAGTGAAGTAATCTAGTGCCATATACCCTTCATCCCAGTATTGCATGTCCTGGGTCCAGCCAGCTCCAAAAGCCCCACCTGTGTGAGCATGCGGCTTTGGAGGAGGCAGGAGGACAGGAGGCATAACTCTCACCCAGGGCCCCAGTTTGAGTGACCAGAGCTCTCTGTTGTTTGGGTTCCTCATGTCCAGTCTGGTCCTCTGTGCTGACCCTGGTGAGGGTGGGCTCTGGTGGTGCTAGCCTCTGGCGAGGCTCAGGTCTGCTGTTGGGGGCCCGGCCTCCTCTCCCTGCTGTCCCTCTGAGCGGCTAGCTCTTCCTGGATGGGCACTGGCCAACATCACAGTTGACAGTTCATGTACTTAGAATCACAGAGTGTTACTTTTTTGCGTAACATCTTTGTGTTCATGTACACTGAGCAGGCTTCGGTGTTTCATTGCTTTGCTTAGCTGAATAATGTTCCCCCTAGGCATATACTGCAATTTGTTTACCATTTATCCACTGATGGGCACTCTTTTTTCACCTTTGGTGGTGGTGAACAGTGATGCTGTGAGCACACCTGTGTATCTGTGTAACACGATGACCACTGTCGATTCTTTTGGATACACAAGAACTCATCAACTTGTAGCTCCAGCTTCCTAATTCTAATTTTTGTCAATTTCATATATAAAGTGAAAAAATGTAGCAACTACTTGTGCAAAAGATTTTTGGAGGATCACATTTATAGCCTTACAATCTACCTTTAACTTAATCTACAAGTTTATCTCATAGTTTTGCTCACCATGTATGTATTTGTGTGTCAGTGTCTGAGTGTCATGTGTATTAATGTCCCCTGGCTTATTCATATCAGTATTAGCAGATTTTATATAAAATACCATTTCTAGGTCAAAGAGATCCTGCTTCTTCCTGTAAGTGCTAACTCAGAAGGGTTATTTGGAAATCTGCAAACACAGAAGTGTAGCTATTCTCAGTTACATGTCAATACCAGTGTTTCTCTCTTCAGGACAAGTGAGAGCAAATGAGGAGGAGTCTTTGTCTTTTGTTGCTAACGTGTAGTTACTGTGACGCGACGTGAATAACTGGAGCAGCTCAGGTGCAGACCACTCACTGATGCAGAGAAACTTCTTGAAGAGGAACGCTGATGGCCACTTCGCACAGGATGGTTCCTCCTGCCTCTGCCTGTGTATTGGCAGCGGCCTGCCTAGTAATGTCATCATGCTCTTAGTCGTTAGTGGGAGTTCTGAAACCTCAGTCCCTCCACACATCTTTGAAAGTGTGTGGGTCAAAGTAAAACATCTGTGAAAAACTGTTTTTTATTTTCAGTGAAGCAGTTTGAGGCTCTTGCCAGAGATGCTCTAGCAGGCCCTTCCTCGCATTTCGACAGAAGAGTTACAGCAGTGACTCCTAGGAGGGCACGGGTAAGACGTGGCCCTGGGGAGGAGGAAACCCTGCCCAGGGTCCCCAGCTCGCAGCAGCCAGAAGCGCAGCCCGCCTGGCTGCACAGTGATGAAGGGCGCTGGATTCTTTCCTGGGCTTTTCAGCTGGGAGCACCTGACCAGCGAGAGAGGCGTGCTAAGGTGAATTTTAATTAGGACTAAATTGTGGTATTACTCTTTCCTACCCTGAACATCTGTTCCCTTCAGAAATGATGATTTATGCAGGCTATCAGAGCAGACAGCCTGCTTCAGCTTATGTCACGGGAGCTGTCCGAGGAGCCAGCGTTGGATGGAGGCTGGCCAGGGCGAGGCGGGGAGCGGGGAGGCGGCCCGGCGTGTCCGTGTTCATTCGGAAGCCAGACAGTGACTGGACTTCAAGGAAAAACTGTTTGACCATCTGGCGTTGATGAAGACGGCGCCTCGGATAGTGAGCGGCTGCCGCTTCCTCCGGATGGCCAGGCTTGCGGTGTGTGCTGGGCAGGGGCCGAAGACGCGGGTCTGAGTTGAGCTGCTCACAGTGGCTGCGGCAGGAAGGGGAGGCAATTCCTGTTGAACCTGGAATAGGAGTCAGATCTCAGAGGTTTTATGGCTTTAGAAATGGCCACGCCCCTCCCCCTCCAAACGGCAGGATCAGCTAATAAGCTCCAATCTGCAGGAAGACATTACACCTGAGTAAAAGGCCACCTGTCTGGAAGTGTGCTTACTGCAAGCTTACCCAATTATTTTAGCAAAGCAATGATGTTTCTTTGGTTAACGTAACTGACCGTTTACTTAGTAAAAAGCTGCGCCTGTGCTGGCAGGGCTTTACTGCTGGGCTAAGTATTAATGAGGTGCTTAGATGGAGGCCAGCCGACTGGCTTCCCATCTTAGATCTGCCTCTTTTCGTGGGGAATAAAAAGACCTGAAAGCACCCTCAATTCTTGGCAGAATAATCGCAGGCTAAGCAGAGTCTGAAACAACTATAGTTTTACTTAAAAGCGATCCTTTACATTTAAAAATATATTGGGGTGGGCATGAGGAAAACTGCATGACATTCTGAAGAAATAGGGTTTGAATCCTCTCTAATATATGCTGTGTTCCTTCAAAGGTTTTGAGTGTCATTTACACACCATCCTTGATATTTAAAAGTAACTAATGGGTTCAGTGTGGTGGGACACACCTGTCATCCAGCACGTGGGAGGCTGAGGCTGGAGGATTCCTGTAAGATCTAGGTCAACCAGGGCTACAAAGGGAATTCAAGGCCAGCCTGAACTAAATATCAAAAGCCCCTCTCAAGAAACAAACAAAAGGAACCAATGAAAATTTGGAAAAAGTCACATTCAATTTTTTATAGATAAGAATCTTTCAACCAATCTTAAAGCAGTCTAGTAATAATCACAGTAACTTAAATTTGTGCAGAATGCATTACACAGATAGTTAAACAACCCAGCTCTGTAGGTTTGAGTCCTGGTTCTGCGATTCACTAGTTATGAAACTTGGAAAATGAAACTTTTCTAACCTCAGCTGCATCTAAAGCATGAAGAAGCTTGCCTAGCTACTGAGAATTGCCAGTGCTTTTTAAATTATCTTTAGGGTGAACCAATGTGTATCTAATCAAAGTTACTTTTTTATAAATGGAGGCAGTTATGAGGAGCTCATGTAGGTGGGCATGATTTTGTTAGACCAAACTTTCAAACTGAATTGTTGAAACAGGTGAACAATTGAGTACGCATTGGAGATTTTTACCAAAATAACTGTTTGATCCTCCAGTTGTCTTTATAGTGGCTATAACCACACTCAGTTAAGAGCACTTATCAAGGGAGATCAGGGTTTTATATGTTACACACTTGCATATTAAGCCAAGGGACATTATATACAAGAGAAATTGCCAAGGCATCTTGTAGCATCTTCCCTGGAGATTTTGAAAAATAGAGAGGAAGGACTAGCTCTTGGCTTGTTGAAGTGTAGTCATTCGTGGAGAGACACGTAAGACTGTTAGAAAAGCTCCTGCAGGGCTGAGGATTTAGCTCAGCGGCATAAGCGCCTGCCTTGCAAGCAGGCGGTTGTGAGTTCGATCCCTGGTACCGATAAAAATGAAAAAGATAATGCCTTGCTTATAGGTTAAATAACAAATAAGTGATAAAGATGGCACAGTGATAAGAAAACAGAAATTATTTTTCTTTTACGGTAAAATATGAGCATGCTGGCTGTTTCTGGTTATAAAGGCAGAGTGGGTTGTGGAGGAGCCTGATGTGGTGGAGGTGTTCCCTGCAGTGGGATAGAGGCGAGCTCTGGAGTCAGGGACATAGAGAAAGCAGAGCAGCCGAGTCCCCAGCAGCCTGGCAGGGAGACAGGGGAGAGGGCCATGTTTTAATCATAGATGAGGAATCAAAAGAAAAGCATTCACTTATTTTAGGAGGTTAATTAATTAAGAAGTATGAGGTGAGGGCCAAAATTATATCTATTGTCACTAAACTTTAGAATGCCAGCGCTAATGCAAATCCATTTGAAACTCGAATCTGCTGGTTTTAGAAATACTTAGTATGGCTTAATTATCACATGGTATCTGCTGCTCCAGGCTGTCCTCTAAGTGTGTATGTTCTGTGAGTGTGTAAAGGCCTTAGGAAAATCCTTGGGGCATAAGTTGCCACAGTAATGGAGAATGAAAAGCTACAGGTACCTTTTTTTTTTTTTTTTTTTTTTTTTTTTCTGATTTTGGCTTTTTGAGACAGGAGCTCACCAAGTAGTTCAAGCTGGACTCGAACCCCCTACCTAGCCAAGACTGACCAGGAGCTCCCTGTGATCCTCCTGCCTCAGCCTCCCAAGTGCTGGGATTACCAGCGTGCACCAGCATGCCTGGCTGAGACCCTGCCCCTTTTAGAGTTGGCATCATGGGGATAAGTGCTACTTTCCTCCAGTTATTACAAATAATTATAGACTGTCCAAGAAACATTAGTATCCAGGGTAGCAGCTCTTTCTGGGAGAGTCCTATCTGCCTGCAGCTGTTTAGAATCCTGTCCCTGTGGCTTTTTTTTTCTATACTGTCACCAAATGCTGCTGGTGGAAACGGCCTTGGTGGCCTTACTGACTTGAGCTGCGCCTTCTGGGTGACTCTGTCCATCCCTGCTACGTCTCATAATCCTAGGAGCTCTTGGCTTTGTGCTGTGCTGGTCTCTCTCTCTCTCTCCCTGATTCTTATTTTCCTCCGCTGTCGTTTACTCTGTCATGTACTCTAGTGCGGGAACACAGGAGGTGAATGTTTTCAGATCTGCGGAAGTATGTTTACCCCTCCATATGTGCAAGCGACTCCCCCATCCATCTGGCCTCCAGTGTTGCTGTGACCCAGTCTGATGCAGACCCTGTTTTGGGGGCAGCCTTTCAAGGTGTCGCCCAGAGCGAGCTCTTCCAATCTCCTGTCTCCTGAATTGCTGGGTCCTCAGAGAGCCTTTCCAGCCCGAGCACCTCACCTGTCTCTTTAGAGGCAGGTTGAGTTATTTCTGTAACAGTGTCCTCCCTCTTTGTCCTGACAGCTCTGATTCTCTGGACCCGTTCTTGTGAACGGAACTGCAAATTTGCTGGCCTCTGCCTTTAGCCCAGTGGATTGTTCTGATTCTCCGTGCACTGTCTGCCTTCTCTAAATACCTGGTTTTCCTTTGAGGCTTTGGGAATGTTCTGGTGGTTTTATTTGGCTGCAGGTTTTCTTGAAATACGAATTTAATCCTCCATCCGAGTTAAAAAGGGAACTAAGAAGCTCATGTAAAAGGCCAATGAGTGTGAGCCTGTCCCCTTGCAGGAGGGCTTTTGCTGAAGTGCGCTTTGCCCAGGCCTTGTCTCGGTGGCAGGACCTGGGCCTGATCAGTGGCCACCCTGATCAGTGCCCAGTTAACCGGTTTCACTAGATGGAATCTGCCCATCCTGCAGCCCAGTCAGCGGTGAAGAAAGAGGGTGAGAGTTTCTCTTGCAATAGTGAACATCCCTTGCCCGGGCCCTTTTATTTTGCAGTGTGTACTGAGAGTTGACCCAGGCAGTACTGGGGAACTTTCCTTGTTAAGTGAGACATGGTCTCCTGAAGTCGCCCAGGCTGGCCTTCAGCTTGTGATCCTCCTGCCTCAGCCTCCCATGGTGCCACCCTACCAGTTCTTTCACTCCCGTCTTTTCAAGAAGCAGCTCTTCAGGCTCTGCCTGCCTGGTCCCTCTTCCCAGGCCCCTGGCTTAATCTCTAGAGAACAGAGCTCCTTGCTTCTTTCCTGATGGCAAAAGCCGGGCTGGTATGAAAGACAGGTTCTGATGCAAAAACAGAATACCAGGTGATCAACAATGGTTACCATTATGCCTCTTGCTATCTTAAAAAGTTGCCTATATCATCAGGTATAATAGAATTGAACAAAACAGTACAGAACAAGACCAATATAGCCTACATTGGAGACCTTACAGGACTTCAAAAGAAGATAATAGTCAAATCATAATGGGCATCATAGTAAATCTTATTGCCTTCAAAGAGGTTGCCTATACCCTCAAACTTGATACTATCAAACAAAACAGAATATAGTAAAATCAGTCAGAACAAGATGGGGAGAGCAATACAGGGGTTCAAAACAGGTTAATAAGAAAACAAAAAAGTTACTATAATATATCCCACTATTTTTAAATTTAGTTTTCCCTTAATTAAAAAAATAAGAAAAAATAAATTAATTGTTTTTTTTTAAAAAAAGGAGAAAAAAGGGGGAGATTGAGATAAAAGAGGACATAGTAACAGAACAACACAGGTTAGAACCGAACAATTTAAGCATCAATGTGTTTCACCACCAGATAACCTGACATAATAGTAGTCACCATAGTGTCTCTTTCCTTGAATTATTTGAGTATAACTTCGTATATTATAGCATCAAACATATCAAGACAGTGTGAAGCCATTCAAGAGAATGAAAGTATTACAGGGTATTTAGAACCAGGTAACAGAAAACGAACAACGGTTTCTATATTATCTCTTTGCATCATGTACTATGTCCATCCTTCTGTTCTGACTTTGTTTTGCTTTGTCACATTTTTTTTTCTCTTCAAAAAAAAAAGTTATAAGAACTGTGGGAGTAATAAAACCCAAAAAGTGTGATTGTTACTGTAAAAAAGAGAGGAAAAGAAAGTGATCTAAAGGATATAACTGCATGTATATTTAAGTGTGTAGGATAGAAAACCACATTACTGAGTTTTTGTTGGATCATTGAACAGAACTGTCTGCAGTCTCACTGTATGAATGTCCACTTTGTATGCTTTAATTTTGTAATTTGGACAACTGTTTCTAAGATGACAATATGTAATCTATTAACTAGTGATTTCTTACAGTATATTTTTTTCTTGAAATTCTGTATTACTTATACCCTTTTACTGTTTTGTTTTGTTTTGTTTTTCTCTTTTAATAAAAAAAATTGACAGATTAAAAAAAAAAAAAAGATGTGTTCTGAACATCTAACCTCATCTCATGGCAGTAGTCACCCTGTCTGGAGGCCGCTGTCAAAAATACCCACTATCTCGATTTCTGAGCCTTTCTGGGGTTCAGCACTGCACTGCACCCTGATGTCTGGCAGCTTAAGTTTTGATTGTTCTGCTAAATCAGCTGTCACTTAATTATCTTCCCTCCCTTCTGCTTCTCCTCTTCCTTCTCCTTCATCTTCCTCCTCCTCTTTCTCCCTCTCCTCCCCCACCTCACTCTCCTTTTTAGCACATCTTCAGTATTGAAAATTTTGATTTTTAACATTAAAAACACTCTCTTCCTGTCACAGCTGATTGTCTTTCCCAGTGTGTTGGGGATCCTGCACCCTAGTGTGAAAATCATCAGGTTGGTTCCTTGATGAGCAGAAAATTCTTCCTTGCATTCCTCTGAGGGGTTCGGTATTACTGCAGGCAGGGCCGGTGCAGTCTGCAGTGCAGATTCCCTGGGCTTGGAGTTTAGAGCCCATGCTCCAGACCCCAGCCCCCGCTTGGTGAGTTTAAACCTTCTTGGCACGGGCCTAGGAATCTGAATTTCATTCTGTGTCTCCTGGTGATCCCTTGCCCCACCAAACTTGAAGAACTTTTGTTTCTGTGTTCAAAAACCACATGCTTTTGACTGGTGGCAATTTTCTTCTTTGTTTTGCAAAATTAATACATAAAATCATGTGATGTATGGAGTGCCAAGTGATGTTTTGATACCTGCATACGCTGTCTAATATTCAAATCTAGATGAATGTGTTTCCTCAAACGTTTGTCATTTCTTTGTGATGAAAACTATTTTCATAGAGCTGTTTCTTATTTGCAAAATGAGACAGTTAGTTG